TTTGTAAAAGCTCATTTGTGTTTTTGCACAAATGTATGCAGCTATAGGTATCCTGTCTGGCAATGCGGCAGTGTTGTAGCAGTTGTGGGAGAAATGTGCATTTTTCCCGCGCGTGGTGTGTGCGGCAGCAAGATCCTGTGCAAGAGGCCCTGCATTCGGTCTGCGGAAAAAATCGTCAACGGTTCCGTGTCAAGAAGGCTTTTTGTTTTCTTTGTGAAGGCTCATTTGTGTTTTTTCCATAAACGTGTGCAGCTAGGTATCCTGGCTCGCAATGCGGCAGTGTTGTAACAGTTGCGGGAGAAATGTGCATTTTTCCCGCGCGTGGTGTGTGCGGCAGCAAGATCCTGTGTAAGAGGCCCTGCGTTCGGTCTGCGGAAAAAATCGTCAACGGTTCCGTGTAAAGAAGGCCTTTTATTTGCTTTGTAAAAGCTCATTTGTGTTTTTGCACAAATGTATGCAGCTATAGGTATCCTGTCTGGCAATGCGGCAGTGTTGTAGCAGTTGTGGGAGAAATGTGCATTTTTCCCGCGCGTGGTGTGTGCGGCAGCAAGATCCTGTGCAAGAGGCCCTGCATTCGGTCTGCGGAAAAAATCGTCAACGGTTCCGTGTCAAGAAGGCTTTTTGTTTGCTTTGAGAAGGCTCATTTGTGATTTTCCACAAACGTATGCAGCTAGGTATCCTGTCTCGCAATGCGGCAATGTTGTAACAGTTGCGGGAGAAATGTGCATGTTTCCCGCGTGTGTGCGGCGGCAAGATCTTGTGCAAGAGGCCCTGCGTTCGGTCTGCGGAAACAATCGTCAACGGTTCCGTGTCAAGAAGGTTTTTGTTTCTTTTGTAAAAGCTCATTTATGCTTTTTTCTACAAATGTATCCAGCCATGTATCCTCTCCCGCAATGCGGCACAGTGATGTAACAGTTGCGGGAGAAATGTGCATTTTATCCGCACGTGGTGTGTGCGGCAGCAAGATCCTGTGCAAGAGGCCCTGCATTCGGTCTGCGGAAAAAATCGTCAATGGTTCCGTGTCAAGAAGGCTTTTTGTTTTCTTTGAGAAGGCTCATTTGTGCTTTTTCCACAAATATATGCAGCTAGGTATCCTGTCTCGCAATGCGGCAATGTTGTAACAGTTGCGGGAGAAATGTGCATTTTTCCCGCGCGTAGTGTGTGCGGCAGCAAGATCCTGTGCAAGAGGCCCTGCGTTCGGTCAGCGGAAAAAATCGTCAACGGTTCCGTGTGTTTGCTTTGTGGACGCCCATTTGTGTTTCTCCATACACGTATGCAGCTAGGTATGTAGCAGTTGCGGAAAAATGTGCATTCTTTGCGTGCATTCTTGCTGCTGCAACAAGATCCTGTGCAGGAGGTTCTTCACTCGGTCTTCGGAACAATCGTCAATGCTTTCGTATACAGAGAGCTTGTTGTTTGCCTTCTAAGCCGACCAATCCCTTTCTGCTTCTTTTGCCAAGTATTCGCGGCAAAGTTCCCACTTTTCCCGCGCGACGGCCATTCGAACCGAATACCAAGCTCATTTGCGGTTTTTCCACAAACCACAAACGTCTGAAGCAAAGGCCAGGTGTCCTCTCACGCAATGCGGTAATGTTGTAGCAGTTGCGAAAACATGTATATTTTTTTCCGTGCGTGGTTTGTGCGGCAGCAAGATCCTGTGCAGTAGGGTCGTTCGGTCTGCGGAAAAAATTGTCAACGATTCCGTGGAAAGAGTCTTTTTTGTATGCTTTGTAAGCCGACAAGTCCCTTTCTGCTGTGTGTTTACCAAATATTGGCGGCAAAATTCCCACTTTTTTCCCGAGCCGAATACGAAGCTGACTTGTGCTTTTTCTACAAACGTCTGCAGCAACGGCCAGGAATCCTGTCTTGCAACGCGGCAATGTTCTAACAATTGCGGGAAAAATATGTGTATTCCCGCGCATGGTTTGTGCAGCAGCAAGATCCTTTGCAGGAGGCCCTTCGTTCGGTCTGCCGACAAAATCGTCAGCGGTTCCGTGTAAAGAGGGCTTTTTGTTTGCTTTGTAAGCCGACAAATTCCTTCCTGCTTCTTTACCATTCTTCTTTCGCAGAAAAATTTTGCCGAACGCTTAAACATTTTTCGCAGCATCTGCTGGCGAAGCCAGATTGGGTTCCAACGTATTCCATCTTGAGCCGGTATGATTCGATGCATTCTGTTTGGGGTCTTCGCTGGTGTAATTGGATCTTTGCACAATTTAAACCGCTGGCCAGGTCTCTTTCTCAAATGTGTCTGAGGCAGTCGCGACTGATGTCGTTGACTGCTCGTTGGCCATCCATTGCTTGGCACCTGTCGCCGATGCACTGATTCAATTCGGAATTAAGAATCTCATTTCTAGGATCTTCCGGCTCACGATTTGTGTTGGTGGCTTTTGCTTGCGCTCTGGGTCCCTTTGCCCCTGCGTACTTCGGGGTGGCGGTGGGGTTTTTCAATGCGGGGGGTTCGGGGACCCGGATTGAGAACTTTCTTGTTTTGGTCATGAACTTCGAGAATGGAGATCCAATAAATTGGATTCATTTTAGAATGAATTAATTGGCACTTTTCGAGCATAAATCTTGCGTGCCGGAAGGGGGAATTTCGAGCAGAAGACTTGAAGTTCTCCTAATGAATCATAAATCTTCCTCAATCTGGATATACGGTTGGGAATGGAAATCAATGAGGGAAATGGTGATTCAATACTCGGAGAGCCAACGTCCGATTAGATTCGATATTTGTGTCAGCCGTAGGGCCAAGCAACGATCGAATCTGTTCCCAAGTGGCTTGCCAAGAATACCCTATAGCGATGTCCGCCCGAGAGAGCCTCCTATTCTGCACTGGAATATCGTCAATGAGCAATCTTAAATCCCCCATTTTGGTTGGAAGAATAGTCTGTCTCCATTAAGGCAAGAGAAAGTGACCGACTAGATACCGAAGTGTGGTTCGTAACTTCTCATTATGAGCAAGCAAGAAAGGATGAAGGAGGCTACTACCAACAAATCGGGCGTAGTAAAGCAATTTGGGGAAGCTCAAATAGCGTTGCAAAAGATGGAGGGTTATATATTTGTATGGTAGCTGATCGACTACCCCGATTCCTTTATCGATTGCGGCAATTTTACGACGATTCTATTCGGAAAAGAAATCGTGCGAGCCTGACACGGGCGCCTCGAGCATCGATATGTCGACGCTTCTTTTGGCGCTTCGAAAGACCGAAGGTCGCCACTGAAATTGTTCCCAGCCAGGACGTATAGACAAGTCTTGGTTAGATCGAAGTGATATCTGTATTTATCAGCAAGCGCGAGCGCCTGTCCGAACACTACCCAAATAGAGGAAATAGAGCCTCCATAGAAGCCATCATCCACGAATTCGGAATCAAAATACTCCGGTCGATCCCATATATTCTAATATATCTCTTCGTATATACGTTTTCTCGCCAAGCAGAAGAGGAAGCCCATGAGAGGATATCCTTATTGCCCGCGTGCCGGCTGCATCACCGTGGTAGACGAGATGAATGGAGGCTCTATGCAGAATTCGACAAATTTCTTTGAGATTTATGGTATGAACCATGGCTTCGGCCCCGGCCCTAACCCCGATTTGAAGGGTCCATCGAGCCTGAATGCTTTCCTTATCCATGTCGGATCTCCAATATTCCTTCCTCACTTCGGGGTAAGAGATTTATATTCCCAAAAGCACCAATTCACTACGAAATCTTCATTGAGAGAGACGTTTGCTCCCAATAGAAATCAAAAGAAATATATACAATCACAATCCTCGAGTAAGATATACGAGGAAAATGGTCTTGAATACGAGTTTACGCCAAATGGGATCCATGATAATTGGTCTGACATCTTGAATTAGGATTTCTCTTCATTTAATTCGAGGAGGATTTCATCCTGGTGTGCGAAGGAATAAGATCTCCTTCTCTTCTCTCATTCGTATTTTTGGGCGTAGATGTCGTTTGGACTTTCTGATTTCGATATATCATATCTCTCATTCGAATGAATAAGTTTATTATTATCGTATTCTTCCGTGACGCCGCTAGGGAGAGACGTTCAAGAGTATACGATCGAAATTTGATCTTCAATATGGACTCCATGGAATGATTTTGAATGGTCCAGAAAACCATTCGGTGCAAACGATTTCTACGCCCAAAAACCCCAATTAGAAATCTCCAGAGATTCCAAAAGTATTGATAAAGTGCATTCGATTCTATCATATATCCCATTTGGATCATATTGGTGGGTCAAATACCGTGAGCGCACGTAATATTCTATCTCGACGAATCATCGAGTTCAATGGCGCTTTTCGAATATACGTCTTGTGTGCCGGAAGGGGTGAATTTCGAGCAGAAATCTTGAAATTCCCATGATTTATTCGATATCGTAAAAGCTTTGTGCAAAATTGAATATATATGTTCAAGTCATGCCTTCGGAAATTATGATCAATTTCGCATGACATATATTTATCCATCTTGTAATAAGTCCTCGTAATATTCCCATAGAATATAGTAGAGATCATGCGATAATTCAATCGGGATGATATTTGAAATCTTTGATCAAATTAATGATAAATAGTATATTGACGCAATAAGTGCGTCTTATAATGATATCGTGAAATCAATGTAATTTCATCCAAGATCTATTATTAATATAGAAAATAAATCATAGATATACATTATGATTTGGCGATTATAATAATTTCGTTAAATGTCGATCTCGTCACGAGAGAAATGGGAATATTCCATAAATTAATCTATCCCGTGAAGTTGAAAAATGAATCTCCCTTAATCGAATTAAAGAAATAAATCGTCATATGATTTTTCCCGAATTTAAGAATAACAAATATATATGAAATTCGATCATCGATTGATAACTCTTCTATCATCTAATATTCTCCTCAAATAATCTATCCAATCTGCACCCAAAAAATACCAACTGAAAAGATTCTCAATGTCTCAAATGACCATCATTAGCCATCATTAAGCAAGGCAAATACCAACTGAAAAGATTCTCAATGTCTCAAAT